CTATTAATATAATATTATTATTTGTTATTAATACCACCACTAATACTATTGTTAAAATTTTTTTTAAAGGAATGAACACCACGAATATTTTTATTTTTAAATTTTTTGTATCACGGATATTCACGGATATTCACAAATACAAATATTTCTTCTCGATATCCGTCGAATATCCGTCGATCAACTGCGAGATAAAATTGATATCCGGATAGTCGCGGATATCCACGGATATTCACGGATACTATCCGACGAATATAACCACTAATGTCATTATGGTATATATATAAATCAATTTTTTAAATGTTACATTGACCATTATCCTTAGCAAGTAAGAAGGCAAAAATTGCATAACTTTAAAGCCCATAAACTTTTTTTTTTATTAACAAAATTAGAAAAGGCTCTCTATACCAATGAACTAGAGGGCATCATGCTATACTATATTCAAAAATAGCTTTTTTTTTAATGGACTAGCTACATTACGAAAATGAGTGTTTTTCAAAGAATTTTGATTTTTTTTCACCATTGGCCCCAAAAATCCTCTATACCGATAAACTATAGATGACATACTACAATTTATCTAAATATGGAACTAAAACCTTACTTTTTTATGGACTAGTAGCATTCCAAAATACGTATAATTGCATCGCATTCAAAAAACAAATTTTATTTAATTATAATATGACACACCCCCAACAAGTCATCCATCATACACATAATAATCAGTCTTGTGTTTCTAAGTAAAGATATTCTCCTGCGACCATTAAATATAGTAGTAACAAGAATCCAATTTCAAGAATCACTATTTATAAGGTACAGGTTTTTGTAATGCTTTAATATTGAAGTTTCAAGTGATATAAAAAGAAAACAGAGTGTCGCTATTATTTTAAAATGTTAGTAAATCGTATATTTATTCTTTTGATTTTTTTTTTCGAATTAATAAATCAAGAAAATGGAGAAGACTACATCAAAAAATATAATAATTAATATTAAAGTTAGATGTTGGAATCGACTAAAGTAGTCGATTAAACTTTTTTTGAACAATTAATATTCGACTATCTTTAACTATTTTGAATTATTTTAATCGACTATTTAGTCGACTATAATACTAATACTAATACTAATACTAATACTAACTACTAATACTATAACTATGCAAATATTATCATTGTCTGACCCAATTACGATTTTATCATTCAAAATGGAAAATTCTGTGTGGAAGAGTATCAATACCATCAATGTGATGATGACGACAATGGCGGTGTTGTTGTTGATGATTTTACATGTGAATTAATAAACACTTCCGAGACAAGGTCCAATAGTTCATTGGCTTCAAATTCCAATGATTTAAGCGGTGGTTCCAGAAGACCTTTAAAACAACAAATCGTAACACATGGTTTTGTATGGAAGTATTTTGAAAAAGTGAAAGGTTCAAATGGAAATGAAATTTGTAATTTGCAAATTAAAAAAAAAATATATTATTATAATTATTATTAGTCGACTAATTAGTATTAGTCGATTAAAGAAATTTGGACGATTCCACTTTCTATATTTTTTTGTGCAAAAAAAATTTTGGTTGCGCCCTGGTGGGAAAAAGGTTTTAGTATATTATTATTTCGATCAATTGCGTCAAAAAGCCACAAGTGATCAACCTACTGCTATATTACATGTATATTTAAAATCACTTGATTAAATATGGTGAAATTAAAGTGTATATTTATATGATTATTAATAAAAAAGGGTTAATTAAAACTAAATCAGGGTATATTTGTTAAAAACTTGCATTGTTTATTATTATTACCAATTTCTAGTACTTTAATTGGAGGTTGGAATCGATGAAGAACCCGGTTTTATAAAAAAAAAACGGAACAAAAACTTTTATTCCTTTAATAAAAGGTTTAACGATAAAAGTAATATTATTGTTATCAATAAAAGATAACAAGCAATAAGCATATGGTGGATTTTTTGGCAGATACCTTACATGCCAATGAAATGGGGTGCTTCAGCTTGATTCTCTTTTTTTTCTAGAAAGAGAGGCTCACGGAAATTGTGTACGACATCAAGTCACAACTTTTTATTTTGATTTTAGTATTACTATTATGGGGGGTGTAATGCATTTAAAATTGTATGCGTAATTTTAAAATGTCACGGCAAGACTAATGTCGTTGAACCAAAAAAAACCAAATTCGAGTTAGACGCAATTAAAAATTGAATTAAGTTAAAGCCAAATTATTTTTGACATGTATAATTTTTTTTTGTTATTGAATGAAGCCTAATTATCAACATGTGTAAATATATTTTTATAATTTTTTTTTTTTAAAATATTTGTATTGGAAAAAAAAGAATTCTTTACAACAAACGTGCTTTGGGGTTATTTTACTCATGAAATAAATAAAACTAAATGGTTATATTGATCCTTCGTTCGAATGTTATTTTTTATTTGTTGGGAACTTCTGGATCTGGTGCAATTGTTTCAAATTTCGAATTTCATTATATCATTATCTAAAAAAAAGATCGTTAAAACCTGCGGAACTATGTATTAGTATGTTACATGTTGCCGATCAAAAAATTTCGTTCTTATGAATAACCAAAAATATTACGAGTATTATGAATAATCCAAAGTATTATGAATATTATGAATAACCAAAAGTATTATGAATATTATGAATGTTATGTATGAATAATAATCAATGATCTTAATCACATGGCAAAATATTCTTTATATTTTATGGTATTGGCGTTGGTGTTGGAATTGTTGATGATAAGATATATATATGTATATTCATATGTATACAAATGAACACAAAGTAAACCTTATTTCAACGAATCTATGGGGATGTTGTACGTGAAATTGCATCTAAAATTCGTTATACCAAAATTACTAAATTACTTCTATTTTAGATCAAAGAACTCATATAGTTTCGTCAATTATATTAACATAGTAATAATAACTAACATTTATGATCGGAATTCACTGATTAATATTAGAACAATAATTTTATTTATGAAAGCAATTACATTCAAACCTTTGTTTCAATGAAAATTAACAAATTTTATGTGAAGAAATTTTAAAAATGAAAATTTGTTGAAACAAGATCTGACTGTATACTAATACTATTCGATTTATCTTGGATTAAAAAGTTCATATTAACATAGTAATAATAGCCATAATTAATTTAATTACTAACACAGAAAACTAGAGGACTAAATTGTTTAGCATTGCAATTGTACTAACCAATATTAATAAAATAGATTGACTATAAGATATATTTCAAAAATTGAAACCTTGACTAAATCATCAATAGTATTGAAAAGCAAAAAAATTTATAATAATTCTTTTTAAGTTGTTACTGACACATGCAATTTATAATTTTATTTATTTATTATTTTATGAACTTAATTCTTTAAAGATTCTTAGATTTGTGATCTTTTTACTTGATGTAGTCGCAGTTGGATTAATCCAATCCAGATGTTTTGTTCTAATCGATGTACTATATCCAGCCTCATTAAGATAATCTATTGCAGCTCCCTATAAGTTTTACTTTTACAATCAGAGTGCTTTTTTTTTAAATTAATTATCAAAATAATAATGCAAAAGAAAAAAAATTACCCTGATGCTTATCAAAGTCTGATGCAGTTTCATAATTGATTCCAGTTCACTAACAGAATTTTGGATTGTACAATTGACCACTTCAACCATTAGATAAATTCCTGAATACTGAAGTTTCATTACACATACCACCCATTTATAAAAATTGCTAACTTTTTCCCAGATGATGGTTGAATATTAAATTTCTTAATACCATAATAGCATCCTTAGCATGTATTGAAGCCCTGTAAATGTCCCCATTAATTTTTTTTTCTTCATCTTCATGTCTAGGGCTTGCTGCTTTTAAAAAAACTAGGGTTTGTATTCATAGATACCATGAATGCCATTAAAGGGGTTACACACTGTTAAAACACATGATTTTAATAGTGACCCCTTATGGTATCCGTGAATACAAACCCTAAAAAAACAGATGTATTTTTTTGATTATGGAGCATATAGTCTGGAATTTTACCATCAGCAGGACTTTTACATAACTTAGAAGCTTTAGATTCTACACTAATCCTATAAAAAACAAATCATAATGAATTGATTTCTTTTGAAAATATATAAAAATATTGATATAATCATACCATAATTATGGTTTTATTAAAAATAGGTCCCAAGTAATCCACAATATAAATTGCTTCATTAACTTTTTCATACATCAGGAAATTTTTTCTGATGCAGATTTATGTAAATATTACATTATTTATGTAAGTTTACAACAGGCCTGTAATATTGTGAAAAATTATACAAAAATTATGCAACCATTACATACATAATTTTTATGCAAATATTACAACATTGCATATTAAAACTTACAAATGTAATATTACAGTGGGAAAATTTTTCTGATGTATCACCAAAGGATTCTACAGCACATACTCTTCAAGTAATCTAAAAAAAGTTTTATTTATATATCCATTTTGACTTATTGAACATTCCATGATATTTTTCAAGTCCTTCAAGAGCATCCTGTTGAAATTTCTGCAGAGATAAATATTTGTGAAAAAAAAAAATAAGATCAATATATATGTATAATTTAATTCAAACCTTTTTGTTTTTCTCCATAAACAATTTGATATTAATTGAAATTCCAATATTCTCAAAGTGTGAGTTGACAAGTGACTTGATTCAGCAATTTCATAACATGTTAAAAAATCAATATACTGTATGTATGCTCAGCTTTTTGTTGGAAATAAAAAACTGATAAAGCAACAAGCAATTTATGAATATTTTGACTTGTTGGACAGACTAGATTTTTAAGCATATGTTGCTGCCATTTTAATAATTTAATTTACAATTCTCCAGTACTGTTTTCAATTGTTTTTTGGACCTTTCCTTGTATTGGTGACATTTCAGTAATTCCAAAAAAATAATTCTCCTTCTTCTACTCCAATTAAATCGATTGTATTAACATTATTAAAATATCAAATTCATTTTAGTCATGTGATTCATTATCACCCAAATCCTTTTGTTCAGAAACACATACTTCATGTTTATCATCAATAATTGATTTTGACTAAATTAAGAAAGGAACAAAAAACAGTTTAAAAATGACAATTATTAATAATACAAAATAATAGCAATTAATTGCAAATTCCTGTTGTTATTCACCTTCTTAGAGGATTCTTTCACTTCATCTTTGTAGGATCTTTTCTATTACTTAGTACCAGGGTTAGCAGGTGTGTGGTCCACTGGAGGTCTATTGAAGGTCCATCAGTGTAACATTTTAACCATATTTAGTCCATCAGTTCTCAATGGACCAATCAATTTGCCAATCCTGCTTGGCAAAGCTTCAGGTAAATCTACAATCAGTTGATCTACTCCAATTTCTCCAATACATCTATACTGTAACTTATGTAATTTCTTTGAAAAGTCTCTATATAATTTGTATCAGTAAAAAAAACAATTTTTACAATGATTGCAAATATGTCTATCTTTTCTTTATTAATATTGCAGTATTGAATGATTAAAGATTTACAAAGTGTGCCAACTTTCTTTTGTTCCATGATAATTTCCTCAAAAAGGATTTCAAATTAAATATTGACAAATTTCTAACACAAAAGAAAATTTTTGTAGATCACAATGAGAAGGCAATGAAGAATTACCAAACCCACTAAATCATAAAATATATGTGCAAAACACCATATAGAACAACTTAGGAGTGCACACATTCATCACTTGGACAACTAAGAGTCATCAAACTCACTACATTGTAAAATATATATCTAAAATACCATATAGAACAACTTGGTGGACCCTCCTACTTTTTATAGTAAAAAAAAATCTGTACTTACTTGTTTGCCTGCTTTTTTAGCATGTTTAGAATGTCTTCTATACCAAAATCCATATATACATGTCCAATCACCTGTATAAGGTGCGGAATCCAGGATGAAATAGTAGTGGTGTTGATGGTGATAATTTTACATGTGAATGAATAGACACTTCCAACACAAGGTCCAATAGCTCATTGGCTTCAAGTTCCAATGATTTAAGTGGTGGTTCGAGAAGACCTTTAAAAAACATGGTTTTGTGTGGAAGCATTTTGCAAAAGTGAAAGATTCAAATTTGTAATTTGCAAATTAAAAAAAAAAAAATGAAATATTATTATTATAAAAAAAAATTTTAGTTTACTAAAGAAATTTTTGAATGACTAGCAGTCAACTAAGGATTTTTTGGATGATTCCAACCTCTAGAATAAATATAATAAGTACATTGTTCATTGTCAATAATTTTAGATAACACTTGGTGGCTGTCATTTTCAATGTCGTGAATAATTTAAATCAAATCATGAACTATGTACTTGCTGCCATAAATGATGATGCTGTATAAGGTGATGAACAACCACAGCCTCTGTTGGATCAATTAGATCAAGAATTTATTTCTGAAACAATGTTTCTTGCTGATTTATCAAATATTTTAAAAAAATTAATCAATACATTTCAATTAGAAAATTTATCATTATCAAAGTTTAAATTAGCACTTGGCAACACAATTAAAGATATAACCTCTGGATTTATAGGTTATGTGGATGTTCTACCAAATTATGGTGTAATATTTAGAAAATATTTAGATGAACATAATCAGTTGGTAGTACCTTCATTTGTCAGAAAATACCCATTGGCAATAATATAGAATCAATTTCTAATAGATTCCCTGACTCTTCTTTTTTAATATATTTGATCCAAAAGAAAATGAGAGAGGTTTGGTTGTATATGGAATAAATGAGATAGAGTTCCTGGATAAATTTTATGATGAAACTAAATTTGTGGGCAATAATGAATTTCATGGAATTATTGAAAAAGGGAAACTCATCAAATAATAGAATCCTGTAAAACCTTATCTCCAATTGTACAAAAATTAGACTTTAATCAATTATGGAAACATATTTTAGATAATGATGAGATTTTTCCTTCTAATCATCTAACAACAACAATTTATTCTTAAAATAGCACTGATTATACCTCTTTCTAATGCTCAAGTAGAAAGTATAGATGCTCCCTCAATTAAAAATCAATAATCCCAAATCTTGTATATCCCAAATGTTGATCAATCTTTCTGCTCTGTTTTCCTAACCAATGAGAAGAATGTCAGGGGTGTACAAAGTAGTTTGGGATTTGGATTTCTTTGACAGGCTGGCCCAAATTCACTTTGTACATTTGGGATTTGGGCAGCATGTATAGTAGAAAGGATATTCTCACAACAAAATTTAATAAAAAATAAACCAAGAAATATAATGAATATTGGTATTTTGAGTAATCATTTAATGATATTATTAAATGGACCAGGAATAGAAGATTTTAATTTTGTATACTGTTACACAAAATTTATGTCGATGTTCCACTGCGCCTTAACACAAAACTAGTCTAAATTTAGAAATTATTTGCTGTCTATTTCCAAACTTGGTTAGTGCGTGCCGCTCACAAGTACAACAAACACCAAGTTTTATTTTAATTGGTGGATCTCAATGGTCGAATTTTTTATCTTGCAATCAAAATCACGTATATTAAATCAAAATGTCTAATGATTTCTTAAAATTTTTCAACGAGATTGACTCTTCATTCGAAGAAGAAGCTGCAAGAAAAGATGTTGGTTTGATTTATTACTATCATAAATTAATCCCTGATATTTATTTAATTTTTAATATTTTTATAGGAAATATTTAAAGTGGTGAAAGAGTATGATAAAACTTGTCGCCATATCAATGCAATTTTAAATACTGCTCATTCCGCTAAACCTGAAGAAAGTAATTACTTAATCTATTTGATTTATTACCATTAGACCGAAATATGGGAGAAATATCTCTGAAACAAAAACTTTATTATTTTAGTTGCAAGCATTGGACAAAAAGCAATTGATAATTTTGGAGAAGTGAAAAAACATTTAGAAAAGTTAGCTGCTATTATACCACATCAACAATATTACAAGTAAATATAATAATATGATAATAATATGATGGTGATGATGACGATGATGATATAGGGTTGTGCCAATAAATTAATTTTCAGAGCAATTCTTTTATTGGTACAATTCTCATATTATTAATAAAATTAATTATTAACAAAATTGTTATTAATATTTAGATACAATGATATTTGGTCAAGGACTCTTCAGACATCTTTATTTCTTGCTGCATTTGCAATTTATTTATCAACTGATAAATTAATCACTATTGATTTAGTAGAAGATTTATTTAATGGTATTTAAAATAACACTAGATTTTAGTCAATGGATATCTTAAATTTTTAACTATATTTTTTCTCTCAAATTAAAAAGTCCAGATAAATATTGGAAATGATATTCAAGATTTTCATATACCAATTGAAGATTTTCTTCACGGTTACATCAATTTGACTAATGAATTGGTAAGAAATATCAATTTGATGTTAACTGTATTATGATAATTATCTATCTATAATAATAATTTGTCTATCTATTATAATTATTATATTTGCGACAATTATATTTATGATAATTATATTTATATGTCAACACAATATTCATTAATTCTAATAAAAAAGTCAAGGTTAGCAGTTAATTCAGTCACAGTTGGTGATTATGATAGACCAATCAGAATATCTAAATTCGTTAAAGAATTATATACTGGCTTCCAATTATTGAATTTAAAAAATGATAATCTAAGAAAAAGATTTGACGGAATAAAGGTATTTTTGAAAATATTTATTTTTATATTTGTTATTTATTAGGTTCATTATAAAAAATTTTACAAATTTTGGAATTTTAGTACAATATTAAAAAAATTGAAGAAGGTATATTCCTTTTTTTTTTTTTTAGTTTTCTAATTTTATCAAAAAAATTAATTTTTTTTTTATTTTTTGGTTTTTTTAGTTGTGTATGATTTATCTTTAAGAAATCTATCAAATGAAAATCAACAAGTATCTTCATCTTCAGCAACTTCAGCTTTAACCTCAAAAACTTGAATATATATTGTTTTAATTAATATTCTTATTGCGAATGTGTATATATATCATATTTTATATAATAATGCTTATAACTAATACAAGAGAAATAAACAAATATTAAATGATAATTTGATTCTTTTACTACTACTAATTCTATATATATTCATTATATTATTAACTATTGTACTATCTATTTATTATTATTAATTTTTATTATCAATAGCAAACATTATTATTCATTATCACCGCCACTACTACTACCAATTCCACCATTGCCACTAGCACCACTACCACAAACTACCAGCCATCTTTTTTCACATTGTTGCCATGTCTTTGATGGTAATTTTTCAGCTACCATCTTCCATACTTCTTGGAATGATTTGGAGTTATTCTTTACAGCTTGTTTAAGTAAATTATCTTCATCCTCCGTCCATTCAGTAGGTCGTCTCTTCAAATATTGAACTCTTTATAATAATAATAATTTATTTATTAAATGAATGGGTGTGGACGAATGAATGGATGGGATGGATAGATGATGGATTATTATAATTACCGATTTTGACAACTTTTGGCGTCTCTGCCTGGAAAATATGATGCAATTTTTATCCAAGAAGTTCCATGCTCTTTCATTAATGATTGTAAATGGTCATCATCTTCTATCGACCACGGATTCTTTGATTTCTTCAAGTCTTCAGATATTTTTCTTCTCTGACTCATTATATTATATCTTCAAAAGTGAGCGAGTGGTTAATTAGTTAATGATTAGTTAGTATATAAATAACATAATGTGTATATATATATTATAATGTAATATAATATATATACCTTTTTAATATATTAATATCAAATAAATATATCTGTTTTATAATTAAATAAAAGAGTCAATGAACTGACTTAAATTTAATTGACTCTTATTGATCACTACTTTAGCCCAATCATTAAACAAGCTGGTTGGCTACTATATATATATCTTATCAATTTTATTAATCATAATAATAAACGATTCACCAAAAAAAATCGAATTAAAATAAATTAAAAGAAAAATAACCTTGGTCACACATATTTCCTCAGGTTTACTATCATCAATGTATATTTTATTTATTATACATAATCTATTTATATTCCTGGAGTACAAATATAAAATATCAAAGAAAATACTTGGAAAAGATTCTTTTGCCGTTGTAAAAAAATGTACATATGGAATAGCAGATAAAAATCACATTGAAAATACTCCCAAAAAAAAAACAATAAAAGGATAAAATATTAAAATAAATAATAAAAATACAATAAAATACAAATATCTATATAAACAAAGTAAAATAAATCATTGTTTTTTTAATAATTTAATCTCATCCATTAAAAGTTTCATTTGACTCTCAAAACCAACTTTAAGATTATTTTCAATTGCTTTAACAATTCCTTTTTCAAATTGTTCAGGATTATTTATATCTTCTTTTGGTTTAGGTATATCAACAAGATCCCTAAGTTTATCAGAAATATATGGTAAATATTCTGAACCTTCGTTACTATCATCTATTTCCTTGATTTTTTTACGGATATCATTAATTGGAACGGAGTATGATCTTGTTAAATGAATAAATGTACAGGTTGATCAATATAAATATGTATAAATGTGAATATATTAATAAATAAATAAATAAAAAATATAGTTACAATATATCAGGAAACCAATTTTTCCAACGACGTTGATTAGGGAATAAATAAAATAATTCAATTTCGGTTATTATCTTTGCTTTTTGAACCAAGAATGCTTCTTGTTTGTTATATATTTCTATTTCATTACTAAGCAGTCCGATAAACAAGTTCATCAAGTATACCACCACAATAAATGAAAATACAACAAACAATATTGACAAATAAGCATTATCTTGTATTACCCAAGGTCCAAATGCTCCACTATCACCTATTAAAAACATTATTATTAATAGGAAATACTTGTTTAAAAAAATTTAAAATTTTTTTATTACCTGTAAGAAACTTATACATCGCCAATACTGAATAATGAAAATAACTAAACATGTTTGTATTGCCATCAGGCTGTTGAACAAGATACGAATCCTGGCTATATGAATTATTGCCTGCAAAATATGTATAATATTTATTAGAAAGGTTCCAAGGATTATTATCATCACCAGAATTATCATCAGAATTATTATCGGGAGGGTCTAATGTGATATTTTGTTTTGGTTTTAGTAATATGTAAAACGCGTGTGAAAAACTTAGAATGATTATAAGTAAAATCACTAGGAATGAAAAAACTTTTTTTGCTACTCCTATAATAATTGCAAAATATACTCCAAAATATTCAAATACTCTTAAAAATAACATGAACTTTAAATCTAAAAGTAAATTAGATAATGAAATTAACCAGTCAAATTCTAAATCTTCTCTAGTTAACAATAATAACGAAGTGATAACTGGAAGCAAATATGCTCCAAGATCTATTTTAAATAATAATAATTAATAATAATATAATTAATGGTATTTTTAAATAAAATTTAATATAAATTAATTTAATATCATACCAAAATAATTCCAAAAATCTATAATATATTTATTTGGATTCCAAAAAAATTGTCTAATTTCGAAACTCAGATGAATTACTCCAAAGACGATTGTGATAATTAGCAATGTGTTTTTGTTATCAATTTCCGAAGTGGTTGTAGTTGCAACTGCAAAACATAGTAGAAATGCTATGTAAAACATCCAGATTCCATAATAATATCTTAATGCAAATCTATTCCATTTGAAATCCACAATGACTTGTCCATTCCAATGCTTATATAATTCCGAAGTGTCTAGCTCTGTAAATATATTATTTTTTGGTTGAAGTAATTCTTTATAAAACGCGGATTTATTTTTTTTGTATGTAAGTAATCCAGGATAGGGAATCATCAAATTAACTCTAGGAGTCTTTTTATCTGAAGAATTAAAAAATCTCTTTTTTATAGAATTTTTCATAGTATGATAAGCAACCCAAAATTTGCTTTCCTCGAAAATTATTGATGAATAAGAATGAGCATTATAAAATATATCAAAATAATCGATTGAATTATGAAATGGAACTAATATTATTGAAGTCTTTATAAAAAATTTTGATGTTAATTTATAATGATGTTTCTCTAATTTTGGTAATCTTGATATAATTATTTTTAATAAACTAATATTTGATTCAGTATCATTTTCAAAATGTTTTAGACAATTATTAAATATCTTTTCTATGATTGTTATATTATTTTTTTTTATTGCTAGCTTTAAAAACTTTTTTCCATATCTATTGAGATAATAAAAATCATCCAACATATATAAAATCATTTCTTTGTAAGGATATCTAGAATTTTGGTTTTTATCAAGATATGAATATTCAAAATCATCACAAATATTCTTATAATTAAATACACTAGTTTCAACATCATTGTCATTATCATCATTCTTTTTAAAATTTTTTGATAAAAATTCTACAGATTCTTCTTCTTTTCTAATATACTTTGTGAATATTTTCTTGTCATTAAATGATAAAATTTGTAAATGTTCTTTAGTTGCAAAACATAAATCATCATTTTCTAATAATTTACAATGAGCATAATTATTCTTAGTTTTAACAACAAATTCATCAAGTGTGTCCCATTTTTTGGTGAACCTTTGAGCTTTTACATTAATATTTAAACAACGATCATCACTATCTACCAAAACCAGCCATTTAATTGTCTTTCCAGGCTTAATATCAAATTCTCCTTTTATATTAAAGCTGAAAATTTTTTCATGATAATCAGTTATTGCTCGTTTTATATATAAGCATTGATTACGTTTTAATGGTAATCGTTGAATATCCAATTTCTCTTCATTAATTTCTTTAAGGAAAATCTGTGAATCAATAACTATAACTATTTTGTTATCAAGCGAAACTTGTCCAAATAGTATTCCCTGTTCATTCACATCACCTATAATATATTTATTAAAATATTCTGTTACACAGATAGAATTACGAAGATTATAAGGATCCATTAATTCACATGAATACTTCTTTGTTTCTTCATCATAAAATATAACCAACAAAAGTTCTAATTTATCTTTTGTATAAATAAAATCATATTTTTTAATCTCGATATTTTTTTTCAATTCATCTACAAAAAAAAATTTTTTAAAAATTTAGTAAGATGTAAATATAAAAGTACAATTGGAAATATGTATAACTCATTATTATAAGTACTTACGTGAAGAAATTGTAAAGTTATCGTTTAATGAATAAACTATTAATTTTGAATTATCTTTATAATAGGCTGCTATTATTGTATTATCTTTATTAAAATGTATATAGGCATCATTATATAATAAATAATATGTATTTTTATATAAAAAAGTTTTATCATTCCATTCTGATATCAATGCACCGTAATAAGTAGTTAGAATATTCTTAGAATTTACTAAAAATTTGGGACTAGTATGACTGGCATAATGATATGTTTCTCTATAAACAAATTGATCATTTCTACCGCTATTGTTATATGTGTAAAAATGAATTATATTAAAATATTCTGAATGGTCCTTGATATGGTCTATTATTATTAAATCATTATTATTTGTGAAAAATCCATTATCAAAATGCTCAAGTTTTTTGCCTTTATGCAAAATTTCAATAAATCTATTGTTGTTGTTTGAAAGGTCAAAAAATTCTAGAAAACAAATTTAAATTATCATTATTAATAATTATAAATTCATATTTTCCAATGAAAATTACAAATTACAAATACTTACTATAATTTTTATCATTGGAAAATGCATTATATATAATTACATGTCCATTATTAGAAACATCCTCTATACTTGAAATATATAAGATATCTAAAAAATCTTCATGGGTATATTTAAACCTTGTAACATCACAAAGTTTTCCATTATCAATACTCCATCCAACAATAGATTTGTTTTTTCTGCTATGAGTGACGAAAAACTTGCCGCTAAGACTATATTTTATTTCGTCAATATGGCAGCCATCATGTAGAATTTTTTTGTCATCATTGTTGATATTTTTATGTTCAATATTATCGTCATTGTTGATATTTTTATGTTCGATATTATCATCATTATTGGTATTTTTATGTTCTATAATTTTTGTACTTTTCATATCATCATCGTTAAAATTTATACTTTCTTTTGTGCTTTCTATATCATTATTAAAATTGGTACTTTCTTTTGTATCTTCTATTCCGTCATCATGATCCCTAACATAACTGCTAATACTTAAAGTTTCTATTTCGTCATCATTAGGGACATCATTAATCACTACTTCTGTAAGGTCTTTAACATTTTCCATTTTTAAAATTGGAATTATTTAATAAAATAATTTTTTTTCACAAAAAAATTTATTAATAATATTATGATGCACAAAAAAAAAAAAATATACAATGGTGATTGTCGTTAATACTAAATACTAACATTGTCACAAACTTAAAATTCATGCAAATAATAAATGATTTATTTATAATGCTAGTTTGTAATCCTAGTTTGTAATCCAATTTTCTTTTTTAATGATTTAGTTGGATCGTTAATATATTTTTGTTGCTAGGAATTCTGACCGTTCTCACGTGGCTCAACTTGACAAGAATTTACACATTTTTCATACACTGCTCAACTTAAAACTTTTAAACATCCATGAAATTTCAAAGTTTTTATTTTTGAAAAAAGATTTTGGGGCTTATTTTTGTGTCAAAAATATTCCCAAAACTTTAAATTTTATAGTGATTTTAGGCAAGAGTCCGGTGGTCCTACATATAAAGGTAAAATATTTTATTATATTGATATATCGAGATTACAAGCACAATTGTAATTTTTAAATCGATGTAAAAGGTATATATGCGTGAAATTTTTGCAGTTGTCTCACGTCTCACGAATTAAAAGCTTTTAGATTCGTTTAATATCACCTTGTCGAATAAAATTGTACACTGTTTCAAAGGCATCAGCAGCAGCTGTAGAAGTTTTAGATGTTGTTGTACCACTTTTACCAGATTCTTCTTCAACTGGAATAAATGAAGAAATAATTTCTTCTTCTGTCACCATTTCATTATCTTCCACTCCATTATCGATCTAAATATATTCTTCTGCTGATAATGGCGAAGAAAAAAGTAATTCATTTGATCAAATTTGAAATATTTTTTATTACATTTATAGAATTTTCCATTTCATCGCTGGAATTTATTCCTTTATCCAATGGGGAGTTATCCAGATTTTTTCCAACAATAAAAATGACTGTTGGTGCAGCACTACTATTACAATTTTTAAATCTAAATCATGGAAATAATTGTCAATTATCACGTGAATTCGTTGAAACGCGGTTTTATCAAAGAAGGTTGCTGCGAGTTTGTGTAACTATCACACAAGGATTAATAATTTTTGTTTTTTTTCTTTTAGAATGTTGTTAGTTTGCAGCCCATCAATACTCATAGTCTCTAATCTTTTTTAAAACTGCCCTAGAAATTTTTAATTGAGAATAATAAAAATCAAGGGTCTGTAGTTTTCTAATGAGGGGAGCTCTTGCCCTTCAGCAAACATACTTTCGCTCAATCTTACGTGTGACAGGGTCGATCCTTGAGTTTTATGAACAGCCAGAGCAAATGCATTCTGAAAAGGAAATTATTTCCTTGATGCCCTCTTACTGTAAATTTCAAAATATAAGATGTTTCTTTCTTCCGCTGATCGTTCTCTCAGTGGAAGTTATGTTTTTCATAGAACAATTGGCAATAAAAATAGAACATACATATTCTTTTATTATTATTACGATTATTATTTTTATTTTTATATGAATATAATTTAACCACTATTTATATCAATAATTTCTTTTTTTACATTTTAAGTAAAGGCTTTATGCATTTAATATGCGGCTTTAACTATTCAAAAACTGTCAAATGATAAACAATCGAATTAATTTAGCATCTTTTTGCATTTTAGAAAAAGACATGGTTGATTTCTTTAATATTAATATCAACAATAATAATAATGTATTAATTCCGAATTGTTACGTTTTTTTAATGGCGGAAAAGTATTTTCACATTTTCAAAAAAGGCATGGCTGTTTAAATATTAACAATAAGAAATAATTCAAATGATCATGCTTTTTTAGTAGCAGAAAAGATCTTCTTTACATTTTCGAAAAAAGCTTGATCGATTCCTTTAAACAATGATGAATTTAATTCCGAGTTGCTATTTTTTTTAGCAGCGGAGAAAGTATTTTCAAAAAAGGCATGGTTGTTTAATATTAACAATAAGGAAATTAATTCCAAATCATTATGCATCTTCTTTACATTTTTGATTGATTCCTTTGACAATAATGAATTGATTCTGAATTGTTTAGTGGTGAGAAAGTGTTTCTTCACATTTTTGAAAAAGACTTGATTTGATTAAAGGAATATTATAATTAAAGCTTTGGGCGGCTTAAAAATTTGGGGAGCGCTTAATTATCATGATCATGATCAGGAAATGATAAATTTTTTTTTTTAACGAAAGAATATTTAGCAAGACGTATTTAACTTTAAAAAAGAGATTTCGGTCATTTTTCATATAGAATTTGTTTAATAAAGGAATTTTTTGTGTCGTGTCGTGGAATCTGATTTTCTATATAATCTTTCGAAAAAAAAGGAAATTTCAAGTGTTACGAAAATGATTGCGTTGTGTATATAGAGTGGTTAAAGTTAACGTTAACGTCAAGTGCTGCCAAATTTTTCTTTAAACGGGTGGAAGTTCTATTTATAATAAAAGAAAGAAAAGATGTCGGACCAATAAAAAAAGCTTGAGCTGACTATGAATTAATCCCTTCCGTCCCTTTGATTTATATAATAATAGATAAACTTATGTTTAAATAATTAAAGCCATCGTAGAAATCGAATGAAGTTTTCAAGTTCAGGATACTTTATTGATTTATTTTTGTTTGTTTGTTAGCATCTGAAGGATCAATTCCCAATCATTGTTCTTTAAGATTACAATGTTACAACTACAAACCTTTCAATGATCATTGTTGAACACATTATAAAAAATTAATTTTTATTTTATCAATAATAATTTACAGAAAAATGCCTACTTTTTATCTTTATAAATTGTTGATTGGGCCTAAAGATGAGAGCCGCAATTATTGCAGATTTGGGCAATTATTTTCTATATCCGCAATTGTCCGCAATTATGAGAAGCTCCGCAATCCTTTTTGTGTAAAGGAAAATTGATTTAAAAAAAAGAATTGTTTTGCCTTATTTTTAAAATTGTTAACCAAAATACCTGTGAACGTTAAAATATTTAGTTTATAAAAAAATGGTTACAGTATTAGTATAATCCTCATTTCAACAAAATGGCTGGACATATAAGAAAATTTCATTTAAAATCCGTTGAAACGAAACAAGAGTTATACTGTATTTTTAAGTAACTTTATTTAGGCAACAAGAATAAATTTTAATTTGAGTTTATAAAAAGGATTTTGGAGAATTGCAGATATAAAAAATAATTTATGGAGTTGCGGATATTTGTGGACAATTGCAGGCATGTATTAGAAATATTTGCGGAATTGCGGATAATTGCAACATGTAGTTAATTGTGAACATTGCGGAATTTAAGATGATTTTCTGCAATGTTGCAATATCAAGTGTTGCGGAATTTTAATTGCAATTTTCATCTTTAATTGAGCATTTGGGGTTTCCTACATTATGATGTTAATGAACATTCCTGGTCAATGACCTCATCACACCAATTTTCAACTTCTTACTTTAATAAATAAATAAATAAATATTAAATAATTTTAGAGATGGTGCAGAAACAACGACAAAGATATCCTGATTGTATGTGATACTTGCCAGGAATCAATTCAAGATGAGTTTTTTTTTTGTTAAAGTATCCTATGGTCCAAAGGCTCATAGAACACAACTGATAGAACATATTTGTAATGATGAGATGAGATTGGCAAATTTTGCAAAGGAATCCTGGAATGATATTTGGAATACAACACAAATAATGAAATTGTCAAGCAATGATGTATGATGAAACTTTTGACTTTTAGTCATTGATGTAACGAAAGTATTGACTAAAGGTAGTTTCTCACCAGGGTCATTTTGACGATTTGACTAAAGCAAAAGCCCTTGATGTAATTAAAACCACTTGATGTAATTAAAAACACTCGACAGTAAAAATGCTTGATACAAGCAAGAAATAATGATAATGATAAAATAGGATTATCAAAAGTGTAAAATGTGTGTCCCGGAGATGAATAAAGAATTATTATATCATTGTAGGTATATTGGCAATGATGCAAGAAGAATAATTATCATGGGAAGTTTACAAATGGTATAATTTGAATTAGAAATTTTACAAATTAAACTCATTCTTTTATTATTACATTTTATAAATATAAATGTTTTTTCGAATCGAATTTTCGACTTTGAAGTTAGCTACGCATAATAGTAATACGCAATAACATTAATAATATTAATAATATGCTTGAGCTGTCTTTGATGTCTGAGTTTGAAGGTTGATCAATCTTGGTACTTAGAACGACCTTCACATAGCACATAAGGCAGATTTTGGTGCATGTTTTAATTTTTCTATTTTATAATTTTTAAATCTTCAAAAAATGCTGAAATTCTTTTATTGTTGAATCACGATGAAGTTACTCTTCAAATAATGTAATTTTCGCTTTTTTAATTTACATCCTCATTATTGGCATTTGATGTTGCACAGATTTTTTTTTGTTGACGCGCGATTGATTTTTTTTTTGGAAACAATTTATTTTTCAATGACAAAACGTGAGCATTGTTGTTTGGGTCTGAAGATGTGTTAATGACAGAGGTACTTTTTTTATTTGTATTGATATGTGTTTTTTACCTTTTTTTATTTGTAGTCTTTTTTGTTATAAATATTTTAATTGGAATCAAAACACGGAGCAGATCTTTCTAGGTAATTATAAGATTCTCATTGATAGTAAATGAACGATTGGTATTTTGCTTTGCGTAATCGATATTATAATATATAATTATAAGATGTCCATTGAAAAAGAAACAATTTAAATATGAGATGTTTGATTATTGGAAATTGGCAGACATTGAAGCATGCATGTTACCTTGAACGCTTTACAATAATTCTACACATTCCTTGTGTACAAAAGGCTAATCTGACTAGTGTGCTCCAAGGATACAATGATGTTGTTAAATTTTCAGGGGGGGGACGTGGCTCTGGGATTTATTGAGACTGCATTAATTGTCAATGACATTTTCACTAATCTTCCAAGACCAGAGAAAGCCTGACATGCTGGCTGAAAAATTGCCTGCAACAATCCTATCTCTAG